GTTGAACAACACTGCGAACTTTACGAAATGGATGAGAAAAAAGGACCACGACCAAATATACCAAAAAAATCAAGGGTGTTCTTTTGAGTTTGCATAGCAATAACGACCATCGCTGAGATTGGAATTATGAGTTTTAGAGCTGCGGCTGTGGGTGTTAACCGATTATCCGTCACAACATTTCAAATACTTAGAAATTGACTGGTTAAAGGGTATGCCAATTCGTGATACATTTAGACAATGCCTTAAAGATGAATAGATTAAGACAGCGAAACTCACTCTGCGGGGTTATAAAGAGAGTCGTAAGGTAAATGTTCTCCTCTTCCACTTTGGAGTCCATAAGTGCACTTATAGCCTTTAGCACTGTAGTCCCCGTGCTGAAAAATGAATCACCGTGATATGGAAACGATTTGGATGAGATTCCAAGATAATAGAAAATCATGTCAAACTGAGCCAGGACAACATGCTGGTAAACGGGGCGCACATTTTAAAAGCTAAAAACTCTAGCGATGTACATTTTGTTCGCTCATTTTCTATCCAAACTGACCAAGCCATTTTGTGGTAGCTTTGATATTATTTTGGAAATTTCTCAAAGATCATGAAAGAATAGAAATACTGTCCATAAATGATAAGAAAAATGCAGATTTCTGATGGATGATACCTCACAACTGGGTAGAGTAACAGCACACGACGATGCGACATATCCGGAATTAGACGAGCGTACAACACGCGCTGTTCATCCCCTGTAAAAGAAAAGAAATTTATTACCGTTTGCTATCACCAACTAGTTTTACCAATAAGCATTTTGCAGATACGAATTGATCGGCAACACTGTCTGAGGGCGAACTCCATCGCTTCACCGCTGCGGCACAAGCTCACACCGCAATTACCACGCATAAATTGAATACCTAAAATTCATTTCAGACAATCTTTTGGAAATTTACCGACTTATTCCATTGATTTATTGGTTCGCACTTTGATGTGCTGTAGTAACCTAATACGCTGATTAAGAATTTGATAACCACTCAACGGTTTATTAACTTTTTAATCGATTTAGCGGTTTTTTCCTTTTCAACTAGTGAAAATTGGTGAATTATGGTTTGTTAACGGGC